TCTCTCTCTCTCTCTCTGTTTTTTTTTTTTTTGCAGGGGGTGGGGGTATTGGGCATTGAACCCAGGGGTGCTCTGCATCCCCAGCTTTTTTTATTTTTTATTTTGGGAAAAGGTCTCCCTTGATAAGTTGTTGAGGCTAGCCTTGGACTTGTGATCCTCCTGCCTCAGCCTTCTGAGTCACTGGGATTACACCACAACCGGCAGGGAGTTTCTAGACCTCCACAGAGTGTACATGGAGATCAGTTGGCCCCATTGCCTGGATCAAATCTTTAGAATGATTAGATTATAAATATAAGAAACCCAAGAATTAAGAATAGACTCAAGAATCTGATACGATAAATACTCATAAGTAAATCCATACTAGAAATTCTCTTAACTTGGTCAGAACAAGACTTATCAGATGTTCTAGAGGCAAGCAAAATACACCAAAACCCTGGGAGTGCCCAACAACTCTCATAGCTGGGAAGCTGCTGGCCCATATGCTGTGCCCTTTCCCTTCCTCTTGCCTGCTTGCCGCAAGTGATTTATGTTTGTCGTCAAACCTGTTTATGTCAGTTGTTATAAAAAAAGGGCATAAACCAGTGAAATATTCTATTGGAAAGAAAGAGGATTGTTGTTTCTCTAGTTGCATATTTTGGCAAGTTTTCTTTAAAGGCAACTTGCTTAAAAAAGTGTTCTCAAACCCTGTGGGGAGAAGACAATGGACACCCCAACTGAAAGGTTAGGGAAAGAAGTCATGTAACAGTGGGATTTTGCGCTCGGTTGCACTTTGCTCCACAAGTGTTCTTAAAGTCTCAGTTCCACTTAAAACAAAAGAAGCAAACAAACTAGGTATCTGAGACAAGGCATTCAGGATGAGGCATAGACAAAAAAAAAAAAAAAAAAGAACTACAATTAGCACACCTACACTTAATGCAAAGTCTTCAGCCCTAACATTAAAAGGTTGCCTAATAATTGAATCAAATTTATGTGTTTAAAAGTATTAAGGTATGGGGCTGGGGTTGTGGCTCAGCTGTAGAGCACTCACCTAGTACGTGCGAGGAGCTGGATTTGATCCTCAGCACCACATAAAAATAAATAAGTAAAATAAAGGTATTGTGTCCAACTACAACTAAAAAAGAATTTTTAAAAAGCGTTAAAGTATAGATATATTAATTTAAAAAGTGATTACTTGCACAAACTGACTTTTGTGATAAATTAACCAGAAAAACAGCTTCCTAACATAGGGACCAAGAGCGCCTTTTCCATGATTCTATGAGTCTATGCTTATTTTATAACTGTACTTAATTGAACTGTACCATTAACCGAGTCTAACACCTTGTGAGGTACGTTGGAAGATATTGACACTTCTCATTGACTTGATGGAATTTATGAATTCTGCCATCATTTAGCCGGGAGGTATTTATAGCTTTGTGTATTTCATGTAACTCATCTCACTTTAACGGCTGTGTGTTCTGTTAGGGACAGTAACACATATAGAGGATTATGGATAAAGTGTGATAAGGAAAATGTCAATACTGGAGGAGAGAAACATTGTGGTCTGAATTAACATAGTTATTTTAGGCATCAAAATCAGAAATTGAACAACATTATTCATATACATGTATTTTTTCTCTCTTTGGAGATGATGATTTTATTTGCATGGATTTACATTTTATTTACATGAATATACAGTTGACCCTCTGTATCTCTGGGTTCTGTATCTGTGTATTCATGGATCAAACAATCACAGATCTAAAATATTCATGAGAAAGCATTGCGTCTGTCCTGAACATGTATTGACATTTTCCTCATCAGTATTCCCTAAAAAATACCTATAACAACTATTTATATAACATTTGCATTGTATTATTATTTATTTTTCCTATGTATTATTATAAGTAATCTAGAGATGAGTTAAAGTATATAAGAGACATATGCATGTACTATACTTAATGAAAGTATTCAGTGAAATTTAGAAAAATATTACATTCTATGTATTTAGGGAAAAATTATTGCTTGATATCTTTTCAAGTATTAATCAAACAAAAAGACCTGATCTAGTAATTATGGATTGTTCAGTTTGGAAAATGGGATTTATATTTATATATTATGCCGTTAGTGAAATATAAATTTCCAAATGATAGTTCTGGAAGGCTTAAATACTTATTTTCTTTAATAAAAGCAGGCTTAAACACTGCTGAGTTTGAATTGAAAATTATCTACAGAATTATTTTATTTTCCTTATGTCTCTAGCTGCTCTTACATTTCAATTGAAATGCTACTAGGAAAAAAAGAAAAAAAAACAAATCTCATCTCCCACCTTGCCCCTCAAACATACAGACATGTATAAAACTTACTAATGAGAATATGTTTCAGAACATATTCTGAACCAATGGGCCAAGACTGACAGCTATCAAATTACAGAAAGCAAAAACTTCATGGGATTTACTGATTTGGGCCACCTTCCTAGAACTGTGATTGCTCAGGTACAAGGTGGGTAGGAGCATCAGGTAGGGAATCAGAAGGCCTACATCAGGCTTGACTCTGGTCTGGACTGCTGTGTGGTTTTAGAGTTCCTTTACTTATCTGACTTCATTTTCCTCATCTGAAAAACGAGGTGGTAAGTTCCATATCCTCCTTCAACATCCTTCGATCAGAACAGTTAACATATTGGGAGCTTTCAATGAGAAAGGCTGTACATTGAGCACTTTCTATGTAAATTCACATATGCCTCACGAGAATCCTAAAAGCAGATATTTTTGTATAATTTTAATTTTGCAGAAGAAAACATGGCAGAGAGGTAAGTGTGGTCTGTTCCACACAGCTGGGAAGTGGAAAAACAAAGATCTGCACCCCGGCAATCTGGCCCCAAATTCAAGATTCTAGGGTCCAGACTGTCATACCGATTCTTTTAACATAAATTGACAATAAAAGTTGATGAAAGCCAGGAAACACAAGTAATTTACAGCACTGTTTTTTTTGTTTTTTTTTTCCAGAATTTCAGATGGCCACACGCCTGTACCTATTTGGCAAGTCTCTCTTGGTGGGTAGCCTGCTTGGTTTTCTGGGATTCGATGTTACTACAGCAAAGAGCAACTAAAAAGATCTTTGTTTGCAAATAGGTAGGCTTGAACTATGAGAAGCAGTAATGCTGTTTAGGACAAGACTAAAGAACCCATTCCAAATGGGGGTTGATCTGAGCAGATTCATAAAAACCTGTAGGCACTGTAAAATCTGTTCTCTCACAGTAAGGTGACATGGAACAATGGCCCAAAACCAACAAAACAACCACTAGAAGGACAGAAACAAAAGCTCTTATGTGAAAGACACAAGGCCAGAAGCTTCTCCAACCCTACCCCACATGAATCATCTGGAAAGTCTTATTAAAAGAAAAGATTCTGGATCAATGCATCTGGATAGGCCTGAAACTCTGGTGTGTAATGAGGGACCAGGTGAGGTCAATGATGCTGGTAAGAGAACCATATTTTGCAACTGAATAAAATAGACCTTATGATCTAGGACTCAGAAAAGCTTAATTCTGCCACAAGTTAAGTCCATGGTTAAAATATTAACCTGTTTCCTCAACTGATCTTTCCTGACCATTTCCTTCTATCTCTAAAATTCAGTATTTCTGATGATGCTTTTCTCATTCAACCCTACACTCAGTTTCTGCTTGTAAGATCAATGGGAAAAGAAAATGTTTCCCTTTCTCCCAAATGCAGGTCTCTGCAAGGGAAAAGTTAAGACTCACTCTTCTCAGAGAGACAATGGGCACTCTATTCAGACGTAAAATCTTCCTAAAGAGAAGTGATCTGCAGATTCGAGATTTAAATTTGAAACTTTCTATTTCTTGGGCCAAAGTCTCTTTGAGAATAACTCACTATAGCAATGGAATGCCATGTACGTATTAAAATATGCATCTTAACTCCATCCTTTAACAATACTGAGGAGGGAGGCTTGGGTTTATTTTCTTATATTGTTTTCTGAGGTCCCCATCTCAAATGGGGGTCCCAAATGCCTGGGCTCAAGAGATCCAACCACATCAGTCTCTTGCCCCCCAACACCTGGTTTCAGGAGTTTGCATTTCTTAACCATCTAGCTTTGCACTATCCGATATAGCAGCCACTAGCCATATATAACTATTGAGCACTTGAAATGTACAGGTATGAATTGAAAATACACAACAGATTTCAAAGACTTAGTATGAAGAAAACAATGTAAAATATGTCACTAATAAATTTTATATTGACAGCATGTTAAAATGACACTATTTGGGGTATGCTAGGTTAAATAAAATACTTTACTGAAATTAATTTCACCTGTGTCTGTCTCGCTCCGCTTTCCCCTCCTGCAGTGCTGAAAATTGAACCAAGGGCTTCCCACATGCTAGGCAAGCACTCTATTATGAAGCCACACCCCAAGTCTTTACTTGTTATCTTTTAAATTTTTAATTTTTTATTGCTGGGAATTGAACTAAGGAACTTGTGTATGCAAAGCACATGCTCTACCACTGAGCTACATTCCTAGCCCTCTTTTTATTTTTTAAATGTGGCTATAGGAAAACTTCACATTATACATGTAACTCACATTGTATTTCTACTGGACAGTACAGACTAGACCCATTGTTTTCAAACTGGCCTCATACCAGCAGCATCCATATCACCTGGAGCTTGTCAGAAAAAGAGATTCTTGTCTTTTCCTCAGACCTATTAAATCAAAATTTGCATTTTAATCAGTTCCCAGATCTCATATTGTGCACATTCAAGTTTGAAAAGTCCTGGGCTAGTTTTTCCTACAACACATTATGGTAGGTATTTGGGTTACTGGCCTATGTAAGTGGCATGTTAAGAGGGTATTGTGTTTGCTGGTTTTCTACGTGGTGAACATGCCAGCAAATCAATGAAAATTTTTAGAAATTTAAGTGATAACACAATTTAAAAACACATATTATAATTATACTATACATAAAAGGTCATCCACATAACATATACACATATTGGGGAGCTATTTGAGTCTACCTTTGTTACTTCTGGGTTTTCAGCCACCATGTACGTGAAACTAATGTTCACAAGATCTGTGCCACTGCAGACGCAAACTATCCGCCCTTCCAGATCATTTTCTGATTTTCCAACAGCTTCGAGAGCAGCCAGGATTTTGGGATCCTGCAAAGAGGTATACAAATGAGAAAAAAAAAAATCTGTTGGAAATATTGTAGAAAAGTTGCCAAAAATAAAATATATTAGAGGTAAAAATATACAGAAGGGCAAATGTTGTGGTTGCTTTTTCCCATTTAACTAACATACCTGGTTACCTAGGTTTATTCTGAACCTGGAGAGGTAAAATTTCTAACACTACGTATTATTTGAAATCCTTTAATAAGAGAGATGTTATAAACTTTTTGGTTTAGAAAAGTAGATGTGAGGGGTTTTGTTTAGCTCTTTTCTTTTTCTCTGAGATAGAGAAGGTTGTGACTGGGGTCCACTTTTGTTCACAAGTTGACAAGGGGGCTCTCACTAGAGAACAGTCACATACATGACCCATGAACCGATACGCCATTGCCACAGCCAGCTAACACAGGTTATTCCCCCAAATGAGACTAAGTCTTTCAAGTAGCCTGGATCCAGAGTGAATATTTTCATTTCTACAAGCCATGGCATCCTCAATTGGCATGAAAGCTGTGAACGTTTACCCTCATTCTTAAATAAAACAGGGCCTTTGTTCTCTGAAAGAACTCAGGAGGAAATGCCAACATATGGTCACACAGAAAATTTAACTAACATAAAAGAAGACAGATTTTAAAAAAATAAAAAACAAAGTAAAGAATGTAACTTTGTTTTGAATGGCTTACAACCTGCAGAGCTATTATGGAATGTGGAATAAATACTGTGCTAGATTGTTCTAAGAAACATCTTTTAAATCGAAAGCACCACTATACAAATAGCTTCTTATTCAAAAAAATCAATCACTGTGAGGAATAGTGATTTATGTGCTTTTTGTTTTATTTATTTATTTATTTATTTATTTATTTATTTATTTATTTCCCTCTCAAAGTCTCAGAGACAGACTTCTAGATGAGCCAATGTCTGTGTGCACAGGTGCACAAACACAGGACTACCAGAGCCATTTAAACTTGCACATCAACCTCAGAAGAAAAGTGAATCACTGCTTTCTAAAAAAGGGAGAGGAGTTTATAACAGCTAATTTCTGAGTTAAGAGAACTGTTTCTTTGCTGCTGTATCACGTAAAAGTCTTAATTTCCAAGGGTTAACCACATCAATCTATATAATTAAAGACAATGAAATCCAAATCACCCATCAGTTATAGATAGGAAGATTTCTAAACTCTGTCCATTCTTCACTCCCAGCTGGTGACTTTGGGGCAGTAACAAGTTAAATAGGACCTGGAGAACATTGATAAGCTATGTAAATCTATTAGTAGAATGACAAACACCAGTCACGGGTACCTTTGGTATGGCTCCCAGCCGAATACTGTTGATGAGGGAACATTCCAGCACTTGTCCTTCCTGAAGAGAGAGAATACAAGCCAGCAGTGAGCTTCAATTTTGCCTGACCAATGGTACAAGCTACTCAGCAAACATTTTTGACAACAAAGTCACTGCTGATCAGAATAAGGTGAAAACAATGATGATTGTTGCTAATGATCAGAAGTAATCATTAGCCTTCCTTCCTTCCTTCCTTCCTTCCTTCCTTCCTTCCTTCCTCCCTTCCTTCCTTCCTTCCTTTTTTGCAAGGGACTGAACTATACCACTGACCTACATCCCAAGCCCCTAAACTTTATATCACAACTATGTATACAAATACAACATAAGAAAATTATTTATGACATATTTATAAAATGCCATTCCTTTTATACATGCAATGTGGCTAGTAAATTCTGTAATATCATTAAATATATTGGAACACAAAATATTAAGTGGGAATAAAAACTTTTATGTAACTCCAATTCTCCTTTACTTACATTTGACTTAAATGTTCTTTTCGTGTGTATATTGTGTCATGCAACAAATTAAGTCCCAGGGTACAAGGAGATGAGCACCCTTTTAGTGTTTGCAAGAAGCCACTTTAGATTTCAGCTTGAACATTATTATTACTTTTTTTTTTTTTTTTTTTGGTCTGGGAAATTTTCTGAACTCCCAAGATTAAATCGGATTGCTAGTTGTAAGATTCTAAAACTAGCTAAGCTTCTCTTTCACAGCACTCACTCACTTGTAACTCTTATTTTTAAAATTCCTGACTATTCTTAAACTATGTGAGGATTAGGGTAATGTCCTTGATCCCCACTGTATCCCCAGTACCTGGCACATGAAAGCATGTTTTTAAAAAGCTGAAATGAATGATCAGGTGTCGGGGTCTATGCCCTCAAGAGGCACTTGTTCTACCTGTTGAGAAATGAAGTGGCTTGAGTCAGAAAGCAGAAAGAAACACTTGCTGTTTTGGTGCCATACCTTGCCTTCACTTTTCCAAGTCAGAAAGAAGCCAAATTCATCCACTTTGAAGAGGCAGTTGGGTTCAAAGACGAATGATTCCTGTTAGAGAGAAATGTGTTGATTTTCATGACTCACACCATTTTGAATCTAATAAAAATGCAAATATCTGTGAGCCTCTAAACAAAGGAAAATGAGAAATCACCCTCTTGCATCCTGATTCTCATAATAATATTTCTTATCTTATTATGTTTCATTTTGTAAATTCCTTGCATTCTTTTTTTGTTTGTTTGTTTTATATTGTAAGGCTGATCAATTTAATAGAGCATCTTTCTTTCTAGAGCAGGCTTGAAAATAAATGACACTCATGTCCTGAAGGTCCCTACAGAAGGAAGTTTTCCTAAGGTCTTGGAAGAGGAGTTTGGGGTCAGAAGGAGGACCATCACATTCAGCCCCTGGTCTCCCTCTGTGCAAGAGAAAATGTTGCCTGTATCTCACATGATGTCAAACGTTAGGTCCAGTGATGGATCTGTGTTATAACAAGTCCTCCAGGTGCTTCTGATGTGCAATCAACTTTGAGAACCTCTGACGTGGACTCTGACATCAGAAACTCAGTGAAATATGACAGAATAAAAATTTAATCAAGAAAGAATATCAGCCAAACCTAGAACATCAGAGCAACTGCACTGCACTGTACTTGCCAACAGATTCCCAGGCTTGAGCAAGAGAGCACCACTGTAATGCCAGGAAAATTTTATGTCCATGAAAGAAAAAGAGTGTTTAGCAAATGAACCAAGATGTCCTTTGCCCCCTGTTTGCACTACACCATGACTTGGCCCGCTTGCTTCCACAAGCCTATGTTCCTTTCAGGATCTAAAGAACTTGTTTTCCCCTCTCAATGCCACATCAGCAATTAGGAACCTGTCTGGCAAATATGGATCAAGGCAATGACTTAAAACAGGTATGCAACAATTATAGGATTAAGATTTTAGGGGCATCAAAGAATCTTAGTTTTACCCATTAATATTTATTTTTCTCAATTCCAGGGAAATGGGAATATTCACCAAGGCAAATGCAATGTGGAGATACTTGGCCACCATGGGGTGGTAGAATTTAGAGACCTGGGGGCTCTGAACAGAGCTAATCTTGGAATTGATAGAATAGTTGACTGACAGATGAAGAATTACCAGCTGTGGTTTACCTCCCTTTCACGTATGTATTGGATATTGAGATACAGCAGTAAATTTGATAAAGACAAGGGCATTCATTGCATGACTTCTGCTTTTGGAGTCAGTACTCAGTTCCACCAGTTTTTTGTTTTTTTTTTTTAAACTTAGCTTCTATACTAGAAAAGCCTTTCTAAGTCTCAGAAGCCTTGTCTAATAAATGGAAGCATTTACATGTAACTTTTTGGTTTGTTGTGGGGATTAAGACACAGGGAATGTCAAGTACACAGCACAGAGTTACCTCTCATCAAGTGGCAGCTGTTAGCAATAATGTATGGTTTGAATCTGCAACTGTTGTAGCAAATTACTAACAATATGAAATTGCCAATGTGAGACAAATTTTTTACCTCTCCAAATGGCATTTTGTTTTTCTTTTTGGGTACAGGGGATTGAACTCAGGAGCACTCAACCACTAAGCCACATCCCCAGCCCTTCTTTGTATTTTATTTAGAAACAGGGTCTCACTGAGTTGCTTAGTGCCTCACTTTTGCTGAGGCTGGCTTTGAACTCACAATCCTCCTGCCTCAGCCTCCTGAGCCTCTGGGATTACAGGTGCGCCCCACTGCACCTGGCACAAAGTGGCATTTTTCAAGGGATTTAACCTAGAAGTTGATACTTTTAGATGGGTCTTCATGCCAGACAGAGAACAGCATTTGTAAAGGTACACAGTCTTGAACTGATGATGGAGAGGAACTTCTGAGGAGTATGGAGTAGTGAGGCAAGTGGCAGGAGATGACATGGCACATATAACTAAGAGCTAGGTCATGGGAAGGATCTTGCATGCTATAGAAAAATGCCTCCACCCAGAAGGTCATGGGAGTCTTATCTGTTACTAATCAAGACATGAACATTAGTACATTTTAGAGTACTTCCATAGCAATACCCTCATAGTAACAAGGAATTTTGGTGGGCAGTGTCCAAAAGTATGTTCTAAAATGGCCCTTACAGAGTAGACCCACAATGAATCCACTGGCATTGTTATTCATGTGCTCCTTATCATCTAATTCCAGGTGAGGATTTGAGATGATCCATGGCATAGATGCCATAAAGAAAGGTTTCCCAACTTATTTTGGAGCTGGACTTCCATTTCTTCCACAAGCACAGTGAATTTTTTCTTTCTCTTCCTCTAAGTTATCCAGACGAGATCGGATGCATTCAGGGTGGTATGGCCACAAACATCCTCTAAGTTATTCAGAGCTCATCACCATTATCACCTGGAAATGTCAATTCGAAGCATCCCACTCTTGGACCACTGCTCTGATCTCTCATCCCCTAGCTCTGGTGCTCTCTCTCTCCTATGTCTACTTCTCTTACAACCTCTTGTTCATTCTCCCTGTCAATCTCCCAGGATCCACCTGATTCCTTCTCCTTTACTTCCATCTTTGTCCAGCTAATTTCCATGGTCCTGTATTAAATCACTCCTTCATAGATGCTTTCAACTCTGAAACCAAGTCCACCCTAGCCATGCTGTACCACTGAACTTGATGAAGAAAATCACAAAATGAATTTGTCTGGTTTTAGTTAAATTCAAGACTATAAATCTCAGATAATCAACAGTCACTTTCAATCTTATAGATTTTTTTTTAAATAGATTTCACCATTCTTGGGGCTGGGGATGCAACTCAGTGATAGAGCGCTTGCCCAGCATGCAGGAGACCCTGGTCTGATCCCCAGTATGACAAAATTAAAAGACAAAAATAGTTTCCTCACTCTGAGAGGACTAGTGCACTGCTTATTTTTGAAACTTGATCACTCTTCACCAATTACAGTGCTTCACTGAGTAAGGAGAAGCCATCATTTGGAAACGTCCCCTTCTCCTCTCCTAATGAAGTATGTTTCTCATATCAGAAGTCAACTCCCCCATTTCTGCTCTGAGTTCAGTCTTCTTCTTACATAAGGACTTTGGTCTTGCTTTTTTATCACCCAACACACATCCGTTTTTTTTTTTTTCCTTTCCTACTAAATCATTTGACAAAAGAATGAAGGATATTCACTAGTTGTCTATCCAATTTATAAGATAAAAACTTATCAGTGGTTAGGAACAACAATGGCCAGAACAGAAATTCTCCAGGAAAACCTCACCAAAAAGCCCCGACTGACATTAAAGACAGGGATGCAGGAAATCCCACAATAAGCTCATCCACTGTAGCTGAAAGGTTTCCAGCCCAAACATGTTCAAATTGACCATGAAAAATCAGAGAGCAAATCTGAAGGAGGTATGTTAACCACTTGAATGGGACCAGAACCCAACCTATGTATGTTTCTTTCCACAAATGAATGGACCTGACCCTAAGGTTAGTAAAGGCGCAGATATCTATTCTTTTTCCCTAATAGCAGTTTTAAACTTCACATGGACATATCCTGACCAGAGAACATGGGAGGTGATTTCCTGAACTGACTAAAGCAGTAATATCCTAAATCTCATCCTCAGGAACATCTCTTCCAGATTGGGAGATCTCTTCAAAGGAAGCTAAGCTCCTTCTCCTCTGCAACTCTGTTTTTTTCAAATAGTAATAGAACTTTCTGGTAAGGAAATAAACCATAATAGGACTTCTACCAGAGACCCTAAAGTTTCAGTTCTCATATGGTTCAGTTAAAATTCCTCATAGTCACCCTTAGAGCTCAAGGGCTTATTACTTTACCAGTTCAACTCTTTCTTTGGGCCATAGGATGAGGACTAGAAAGGGCCAGGAACTCCTTTTGAAAATACTGAGCAAGTGGTGGTATTTTGTTTGAGAAACACAAGAAGCATCATTTTGGCTGGAATTACTATTGTCAGACAACTGGCTGGTCCAGGGATCTGGGGAGGTGTGCCCCTACAGGCCAACAGGCACCTCCCTATCTCAGCAAGGAAGGAGTGCGTATTTAAGTTTTTTATGGGTTTATTTTAAGGATATTTTCCTGGTCCACGATGTTTGTACATCACTCAACATTACAGCCTTCCTCTCAAAGATTCAAATTACTTTCAAATTGATTTACTTTTTAAAATTTTTTTATTCGTTCTTTTTAGGTATCCACGACAGCAGAATGCATTTTGACATATTACACATGGAGTATAACTTCCCATTCTTGTGGTTGTACATGATGTGGGGTTACACTGGTTGTTTATTCATAGGAAAGTTATGTCCGATTCATTCTGTCTTTCCCATTCTCATCCCTTCTCCCTTCCCTTCAAATTGATTTAGATTAAAACCATTTAGTCTTTGCATTTTAAAACTTATTCTGTTAAATAAAGTGAAGTCCCCTTTCTTCTTATAAGGAAATGACAGAGAACGGAACAGGCTGAATGCTCTGATGGAAGAGGGGGAAAAGTATTCATGTGGGAGATCCAGATAATAGGTCCTTGATTTTATTTTAATTGTGACCTCTGATTATTTCTCACCTTTTCTCTCTTGACCTCTCTCTCACCATCATTGTCCAAGTTAATTGCAAATGTCTATATATTTAGAAATGGCGTTTGCATCAGTGAATAGGATACAGTCAAGTCTTATTGCCAGCCAGGGAGAGCTATTTTGGACTAGCAATCAAAGCTTTACCTACACTCTAGTTAAACCTTGCTTGTTCAGGGGCTAGTCTTCTGTGTGTGGGGATGACACAAGTCGTTTAGGACACAGGAAAGAAATGGAGGGAGGCTTTTTATACTCCATCATGAATCTTGTGCTTTCTGAGAAAGAGCACCTTCTCAGGAGGTGAGACTCCTAAATGAGCCAGGGGCCCAGCCCTGTAGCTAATGGTTCCTGAATGCTTGACACCTCACCAGCACCTGTGGGAGGAGCTCAGGAATCATGCTGATTAACCTTGATGAATTTCACTCTTCCAATCTGAATATTGGGATAAATGATACTAACCTTAAGGAATGCTCAAAGAATTAAAGTT